TAAAAAAGGCTCCCCTTTGCCATATGGGACAAGTGAAAATTTGTGTATGCAATAATTTCGCCAAAATCATTCTTGGAGGTATTTTGTCACAGTGGGGCCAAACACACCATAAAACCAATCCAAGAAAAATGCTTTAGTGACCCATGCCTTACTGTTTGATCTCCACAGCACACACAAATTACCCTTGACAATATTGTTTTTCCTGAACACTCTGGGAGTTTCAGAGCGATACACCAATAAAGGCTTCACTTTGCAATCACCACTAGCATTACTACACAACATTAATGTCAGCCTGTCTTTCATAGGCTTATGTCCTGGGAGTGCCTTTTCCTCCTCAGTAATGTAGGTCCTGTTTGGCATTTTCTTCCAAAACAGGTCTGTTTCGTCACAATTAAACACTTGTTCAGGTTTTAGGTTTTCAGTCTCTATGTATTCCTTAAAGTCCTTCACATATTTTTCAGCCGCTTTTTTTGTCCGAACTGGCTGCCTCACCATGCTTACCACACTGTGTATGCCACTATGAATCTTAAATCTCTCAAACCAGCATCTGCTGGCCTTAAATTCATCAGCAGCAGCACTATTTTGAGGCATTTCTTAATGAGATCTTCATGCAACTTCCTTGCCTTTTCACAGATTATAGACTGAGAAACACTATTGCCTGATAATTTTTTTCGTTTATCCATACCAATAACAGTCTCTCTACCTCTTCAACTATTTGTGGTCCGTTTTGAAACTCTTAACCTTCACAACAACAGCTTCCTTGATGCCTGTTTGCCAAGATAGTACTGATGTTGAATTGATTTGTTGTATTGCCTTTCCAACTCAGCAAACATACTCCACTCTCGTATGTCAATATCCTTCATTTCCATAAATCTACCCTTTAACACAGGTTTGCACAGAAGCTTCTTGGATGCATGGGGCTTGTTTAACAGTACAAGCATAGAAATAGTGGAATAATTCAAAATATATGGGGCACACTGGAAACCGACCGCAACAGCTTGTAACAATGGCCGCTCAGCCCGCTCCGCACATCAACAGTTCTGGAATAACGTCGTTGGTTAAGTTCCGCCGCTGGTTAAGGCATTTTTTCTCACACATGTCACTTCTGCCACAGAGTAAAGGAATTTTTTCTGCAGCTGTAAATGCAAGAATGATAACAGTAAAAACGCCAGTTTATCTCCTTTTATATGTATGTACTTTATTTTTTTACATAGTAGATATCAATGTATTTTTTTTTATTTATATTATTGTCTTCCATAAAGAATGAAACCAGAATGCATGTTTACCTGGAGTTACCTGAGAGAGCCGGGGGTCAACGCCCCGCGGCCGGTCTGTGACCAGCCTCCTGGTGATCAGAGCCTGATCACCAGCTGTCTGCTGGCTGCACGCAAACCAACGTACGAGCCCAGCCGCTGATCAGGACTGACTTAGGTGCTTGTCCATGCCAGCTTGAAGACTGCAGGGTCGTTGGTAATCCCCCTTATGTGTGCTGGAGCAGTTGAAGCAGTCTCGGGCCCTGACACTTATTATGGTCTTTAGTGCTAGTGACCCCTTTTTCATTGGGGGAGTGCATCGTCTGCAAGTCTTTGCTTTCGTATGAGTGATTTCGTTGCAAGTTCGGTATAGTCCCTCTAGGATTTTCCAGGTGTATAACTCATGATCCTCCTCCTGCGTCCAGGAATACAGTTTAGGAACTCAAGCGCCCCAAATGAGGTGTTTTATCTCCGTTCACGCGCCGTGAAAGTTCTCTGGTAATTTTCTAGGTGGCAATTTCACCTGCCTTGAAAGGTGCTGTTAGTAGTGCAGAATATTTCCTAGTAGAACAAGTGACCGAAGAGTTCTCATGGGCTTGCCTCCCAGTTGAAGGTTCTCATTATTCCATCTGTCTTTTTCTAGCAGATGCGATTGATACAATGTTATGGTCCTTGAAGGTGAGATCCTCCGACATGATCACTCCCAGGTCTTTGACGTTGGTGTTTCGCTCTATTTTGTGGCCAGAATTTGTTTTGTACTCTGATGAAGATTTAATTTCCTCATGTTTAACATATCTGAGTAATTGAAATTTCTCATCGTTGAACTTCATATTGTTTTCTGCAGCCCACTGAAAGATTTGGTTGATGTCCGCCTGGAGCTTTGCAGTGTCTGCAATGGAAGACATGTCTGACCATAAAGGAAATGAAACCAGAATGCATGTCTGTCCATCCTGGATTCTTGTTTCCCGGAGTGGCCAAAACGTTTATGATAGCTGTGCATTGTTTCTTTCATAGTGATAAAGAAGGGAAGAAAGCTAACAAGTTCTGAAGGTTGAGAAAAGAGTAAACAAAGGCAGAGTAGGCAATGAGTGTTGAGGATAGGAAAGATAGCACCAGATGGGGAGACCTACTTGAGGGTGTGGTCGACGACGCTGTAGGGGTCGGAGGCGGGTCCCATCTTGCAGGAGCCGACCGGATGGAAGGTGGTCTTGGCCATGAAACGGGTGTAGCAAGCCCAATACTCGTCAGAACCGAACACCTCCGACTCACACCCCGGCAAAACCTGTACAACACACATGTAAAACTAACAGATATTGAATCGAGATACATACTAACCCTCATGTAGACAAAACAGCTATAGCTGATTGCGTGTTTGTAAGGTCTTAATGTGAGATCGAAACGTACCCATCCTCTTTGATTTTCTCCATGATGATTTATTTGTCATACATAAATAATTGCTAACAGTATTGTTAAGCAATAAACAAACCCTTATCTGGACTTTTTAGGCTGCACCAGACAAATATATTAAGTTCATAATACCAGGTAGGCTCTGTATGAATGCTGTGTTCCCTTAGTGAGGAATACAGTATTCCAAGCAGTATCTCTAAGCCCTTAATTGTTATATTCTCACAAACTTGAAGAAATTTACACTACCTTGTCATGAAATCTAGCGCCGTGTTCTACTCTCAAGGCTGGCGCCTCTCCAACAGTCAAGGAGAACCTGATGCCTGCAGAATAAAAAAACATTATCATGATTCCGGAGGAGTAAGACAGTATGAGCGTAATATTTACACGATTTATGTGACGATAATGTCAATATGATGTGTGAGAGGAGACAGAGTAGGAGTGATATTAACATGATGCCTAAAGACTATGAGGTTAACATGAAATAAATCCTTGTGGAATTGGGTTAAAAACTGGATGCTAGATTAACATTTCTGTCTCGCGTTTGGCGAGCAAAGGATCAAGCCTCCACTGTAGGTTCTGAATGAATGATAAGGTAATATATCCTTCACATGAATATAATGTCGATGATTCTCGGAAGGAGAATAAGGTTAATAATAACATGATAACTGGGAAGAGTGCAAGATTAATAATAACGTATGCGGATCATTATGACGCCTGGGGAGAGTGGAACGTCAAGAAAAACATGAAATCTGGAGAGTGTTAGAACATTAATAACATAATAACTGGGAGTAAATGTAAGATTATATAAAACATAGTGGCTAAAAATAGTGTAAGAACATTAATACCATTGTTTTTGGAAAACAAGAGTAACGTGATGAGTTGGAGAGTGTGTATGATGATTAATGACATGGTGCCTGGAGAACAATGTTAGATCAATACAAACATGGCGCCTTTAGAACAGTGTAAAATCAATAATAACGTGATATCTGGAAAACAGAATAAAATTAACAATAACGTGATACCTGGGAAACAGTGCTTATATCAAGGGTAAAACATTCTGACAAGTACGGCAATGACTCCATGTGTGGGTTGTCATATTATTGAGATGTTTCGTTCATCAGGGATTTTACCTATTCACACAGTGAGAGGTAATGTAATGAGCCTATTGAAAGAAATGGTATGGTACCATTTACTTAAAGTATTTAATTAGCAAAATATATATTTATGTGTTTGTAGTATAAATCAGACAGTTAAATATTTATATATTTTTCCTAGTTGCTATTTACATATGAAAGCTGGTATGTAAATTACTAAGGATATGTGGATGTCTGGGTACCCGGAAAGCTCCAGGTGGGAACAACCAACAGCCCCTCCCAAGCAGAGAGAGGTGACAGCTGCCGCGCCTTCACTTTTACAGGTAGGTGATCTTGGTTGCCAATATGACGTTTTTCAGAGCATAGTTCTAGCTGCCCATACAACTTTTGTTCCGAGTAGGGAAATTAGATCTAACAAAAATGATCCCAAATGGATGAACAATAGATTAAAACATCTCATTGGTCAAAAGAGAGACATATATAGGCGTATCAAAAGAGAGGCTGGGCAGTTAAGAAATCAATATATTCAATTAAAGAGAGAAATAAAGAAAGGAATAAGAAAAGCAAAAAGGGATTATGAGGCTAAGGTTGCAAGGGATTCAAAGACTAACCAAAAAGGGTTCTTTCAGGTATACAGAAGTAAGATTAGTGACAAGATTGGCCCACTTAAGAGTAACTCTGGTCAGATCACTGACAGTGATAAGGATATGTGTGAAATTCTCAATACCTGCTTCCTCTCAGTTTTCACCCAGGAAAATACTAGAGATATTCCTAAAAATAATAGATAATGTAGAACAGGATAATAAACTATGTACGATTGCGGTAACTAGTGACATGGTCCTCAGACAAATAGAGATACTAAAACCTAACAAATCCCCAGGCCCTGATGAACTGTTTGCAAGGGTGTTAAAGGAATGTAAAGAGGAACTTAGCATACCTTTGGCTAATCTTTTCACATATCACTACAAACTGCATAGTGCCTGATAAATGGAAAAGGGCAAATGTAATACCTATTTACAAGGCAGGTGACAGGTCCTTGGCTTCGAACTATAGACCAATAAGCCTTACCTCCATAGTGGAAAATTTTATGGAATCAATAATTGCCGAAGCAATTCGTAGCAATCTTGACAGTCACAGATTGATATAATGAATCTCAACACAGTTTTACAAAGGGGCGTTCCTGTCTTACGAATTTACTAACTTTTTCACTAAGGTGTTTGAGGAGGTAGATCATGGTAATGAATATGATATTGTGTATATGGACTTCAGTAAGGCTTTCGATAGAGTTCCACATCAGAGGCTATTGAGGAAACTTAAGGCACACGGAATAGGAGAAATTTTTTCCTGGGTAGACGCATGGTTGACAAATAGACAGCAGAGAGTTTGCATAAATGGGGAGAAATCAGAATGGGGGCACGTCACAAGCAGTGTTACTCAGGGTCAGTGTTGGGCCCGTTCTTGTTCACAATTTTTACGTAAACGACATAGATGAGGGAATAAATAGCGACATAAACAAATTTGCTGATGGCACCAAAATAGGCCGTCCAATTCATTCTAATGAGGACACTAGAGGACTCCAGGATGATTTGAATAGACTGAAGCAATGGTCGGAGAAGTGGCAGATGCAGTTTAATATTGACAAATGCAAAGTTCTAAATGTTGGACAGGTAAATAACCATGCCACATATAAACTAAATAAGTAGATCTTAATACTACTGATTGCGAAAATGATTTAGGAGTTCTGGTTACAGTAATCTAAAACCAAGACAACAGGGGCATTAGTGTTCGCAATAAAGCTAACAGAATTCTTGGCTTCATATCTAGAAGTATAAATAAATAGAAGTCCTCAGGTTGTCCTTCAACTCTAATACCCTTGGTTTAGGCCTCATTTTAGACTATGCGCCAGATTCTGGTCACCGTATTACAAAAATGGATATAAATGCTCGGGAAAAAACGTACAGAGGGGGAAAGAAAAAGATGATCCCATGTATCAGAAATCTTCCCCATGAGGATAGACTGAGGGATATGATCGAGGTGTATAAATGGAAAATAGGAATAAATAAAGGGAGTAAATAGGTGCTGAAAATTTCCAGCCAAGACAGGACTCGCAGCAATGGTTTCAAGTTGGAAAATTCAGATTCAGGAAGGATATAGGAAAGCACTGGTTTGGTAATAGAGTTGGGGAAAGAGTGAAAAAAACCTCGAGTACAGTTATTCAGGCTAAAACTTGTGTAGCTTTAAAAATAGGTTAGATACATGGGTGGGGTGAGTGTGAGTTGGACCTGACTAGCTTTGCTACTGGGTCTGGTGTCGTGTTCCATCGTTGAGTGGAGGTGACCAGACTGGGTGGTCTTAGGCTAATCCGGGGGGGGGGGTTCATTGGTCTAATCGGGGGGGGGAATGGACCTGCTCCGCATGGGTCAGTAGGCTTGTTGCAGTGTTCCTTCTTTCTTATGTTCCTATGTTTCTACGTTTAGCTTCCCCATGGAAGATGAGCGAGGGTTTTAAGAAGGTTCAGCTGACTATGACAAGTTCAGAGAAGTAATTGAGGTTTCCAGGGTAACCTATGGTCCAAACAGAAGGCCGAGAAACCTGACCGTATCACGTTCTGGGGTACGTGAGCCATACTGAACCAAATTTCTTTTATTATCTGAACGTCTAGTGAAAATAATTTTTTGTAGTTTTAGTACTGGAAAATTTACAGCCCCTGTAGTGGCCCAATTGGAAACACGGTCGACCACATGCTGGACAGAAACTGCAATGAGGTGACAGTCAGCGCCTGCACAAGCTATAGTGAAGTCATCAACATAGAGTGATGACCAAATATTGGATGGAAGAAGAGAGGCCCAAATCCCTTTATACAAGGAGAAAAAGGGTTTTTGCTCAGACACATCCTGGGGGACACCTTCAGCTTCGACAAAGTCCGGGGAGAGCATATTGTTAACCCAAACACAGAAATGTCTTCAGTTAAGAAGTTCTTATGAGTGAAGTCTGAAAAAAAGTATGGAAACTGAGTGGTAAATACTCTCCCGACCCGGGTACTGTTCCGGGGGGTTGCCGGTGTTGGCAATGACTAACTAAAAATATTGTATTATTTATTTTTTTATATTTTTCCATATAAACATAGTGCTTCACGAAGAGACTACCTTTAAAAAAATCTCAGTACATTTGGCTACATTTATGTAGAATACTCTTTGCAAAAACTAAAAAAAAAATAAAAAAAAAAATAACAGATTTTGTGAAACAAGCTTATTTTGCTTATTTTGGAATAGCGCTAACAGGACAAGACAAGTTTGCAAAACTTGTGTAGAATGTATACGACAGTGGAAAAATAGGCAAAGGAAAAGTTAAAACTTGGGCGTGTCTATGGTGTGGAGAAAACCGAAAAACCACCACGACGATTATTATTTCTGTATGGTGAATGTGAAAGGTTTCAATCGATACATGAGAGTCAAGTGGGAATATCCTGATCTGGAGTCAGTAAGGATCACTGTGCCACACAGTGAAGACATCACCATACAAGTGTTCACAACACTGCCTGACCTTCCGTTGTCAGATGTTGAAGAAACTCAGTGTTTAGGATGTAACACAGGTGATAACAGTAGAAGTGAATATGAAGTAAACATTTCAACACCCCAGTAGTTCTTCCAAGAAAAACACAATGATACGTGACCTCAGTCTGTCAAAGCAAGCATGTGAACTTAGGTGGTCCGGTGGCCCGGTGGCCTGGTGGCTAAAACACCCGCTTCACACACGGAGGGCCCGGGTTCGATTCCCGGCGGGTGGAAACATTTCGACACGTTTCCTTACACCTGTTGTCCTGTTCACCTAGCAGCAAATAGGTACCTGGGTGTTAGTCGACTGGTGTGGGTCGCATCCTGGGGGACAAGATTAAGGACCCCAAGTTAGACAGTCCTCGATGACGCATTGACTTTCTTGGGTTATCCTGGGTGGCTAACCCTCCGGGGTTAAAAATCCGAACGAAATCTTATCTTAACTTTTAGCATCCAGACTAAAAACAAAGACTGTCTACAACGAGAACTTTAAATAACATCTTATCGGACAAGAGAGGTTGAACTCCTTCCTTATTTCAGCCATGATGACGAACTTGTATACTGCAACAACATCCCTGGACCTCTTCGAATGGGATGTGAATATTGACGACGATATTGGCTGAAATGTGTCTTAATGGACAATGATAACCAATATGCATCTCTTCCAATAGCTCACTCAACAAAACTTAAAGAATGATACGAAAATATCAAAATGGTATTGCAGAAGTTTTGCTATCACGAGCACAACATTTCTGAGTTGATCTGAACATGATAACCTTCTTGCTTGAGCAACAGAGTGGATATACATAGTACTCTTGCTTCATGTGTTTGTGGGACAGTAGGACAAAGGCAGAACATTGGACAGAAGTGACATGGCCTTCAAGAGAAAACATGACCGTAAGTGCAGTAAACATCATTAACGAGCCCTGGTTGACAGGGATAATATTATCTGCCACCACTCCGCATTAAGTTAGGGATAACGAAGCAATTCGATGAAGTCATAGACAAAGATGGCAATTGCTTCAAATTCATTTGTAGGCCGTTCCCTGGACTATATGGAAAAACTGAAAGTTGGAATCTTTGATGGTCCTCAATTTCGAAAGCATATCATGATTCTAATTTCACAAAATGTATAAATGGTGTCGAAGTTTCTGCATGGTGCAGTTGTGTCAGTTGTCAAGAACTTCTTGGGTAATCGCAAAGAAGACAATTATGAAGAACTAGTGCAAAACATGTTGACAAGTTTAAAGAATTTAGATACTAATATGATCATGAAGGTACACTTCTCCATAGCCACCTAGATAAATTTCCACATACTCTTGGTGAGGTCAGTGAGGAACAAGGGAAGAGGTTCAATGAAAATACGAAGGTGACTGAGGAAAGATATCAAGGCAGATGAGACACACACATGATGGCAGACTATTGCTGGAGCCTGAAACGGGACTGTGCTGTTGACCAACATAGAAGAAAATCGTACAAACAACGTTTTCAAATGCAGTAATTAGTGCTACCTGAATTATCTTACTGTGTTAATCTATTATTGTATAGAATAAAGTGCTATTATATATTACATGATTTGATTTTTGCATGATCAAAAAAATGATTTCAAGGCGATTTGTAAGTTAGAATCGTCTCATCAATGTATATTTCACATCTTTTCAACGGGACACCAAATTATCAAAAACTCGAGTCAATCAAGCAAAACCGATGACATATTCAGAATCAACACCACAATTTTACCATAAAATCGGTGTAATATCACTGGCTAGAAAATGAATGTTGATCATTGAATCATAAACATATAAAAAATAAAGAATTATGAATGTTGATGTTACTGGTAACTAGGGAGGTGGCAACAAGAGCAGATGCAGCCCTGCCAGAAGACTCCTGTTTAGATAGTTAAGAATGATAATAAACTTGTTGAACTAGGCATAAGAATTAACAACTGGGCGTCTACATTGCAAACTGAATTGTTTGCAATCCTAATGGCGCTAAAGCTAACTTATGACAATGAGTTTGACTCCATCATCATTACTGATTTTATGTCATCACTGAATGCTCTTAACTTATATGACTCCATTAACATGCTCATTGGAGAAGCCAGGTATAGATACTCAAAAATCCGTGACAAAGGAATTAATGTACAATTGCTATGGATCCCATCACACATTGGATTACTCCTTCATGATAAAGTTGATATGTTAGCCAAGAAGAGTACCCAGAAGGAGAATGTAGAATATAACTTTGGTATAACTGTGTCTAGCATTAGGAATAATATTAGGAGAGAAGTAAATAATGAAAATGATTGTTATAGGAATGCAGTTAGAAGCCTGAGTAGATCTATAACCCACTATAACATGAACATAGATAAGTATGTTCATGGAGCAACTTGCAATGTGAACAGACTGACTGATGTTGTTGTGGCCAGGCTTAGGCTTGGTTACAAGTACTTCTGGCAGTTTGGAAGACACACAGATGATGATCGAACTAAATGCTAATTATGTGATCAGGCATATGGTCACTATTTTGAACACTATGTGCTTAATTGTCCACTTATTGAGGAATACAGAGACACACAGTATAATAACCTATGTGACATGTCAATATATCTTATTAATGGAAATATGATACCAGATATACTAAGCAAATTTCCTAAATTTGCGTGTAACAGGTAAGTGAACTATAGATATGTAGATATAAATCCATATGTACTCCTGTTAACCCTTTGGGGCCTAGTTCCTAGGCCTTTTGTGTATCCATATGCTCTTGCGCTACCGTCCACAGGATGGATGTGGGGTGCACAATAAACTAGCCACTTCGGTGGCGAAATCTAAATGTTACTGGCTAATTATCTGTAACCAACTATTGAATTTCGTAATAATGTTGGTAAAATTACCGATAATATGCTAGGTAAAAGAACACAAGTGCAGCTAATGTGACATTTTATTGTGGCAACGTTTCGCTCATCTTGTGTCCTTGTACCTATCATATTGAATTTTGGATATTATGATTTTTTTAAGGTATAGTTTTTGTCAGTTAACACAAATACTTAGGTTGATGTAAATGTGTCACAATGAGTCTGCAGAAATTCCGTGCTCGCTATTAAGATCAGATGTAAACCTTCCATAAATTTACTTGCTTTACCAAAACATTTAGTTTCAAATATTTATAAAAGAGGTTTTAGTTGGTTGTGCGACTTTAGGAACACTGTGACTTTTCAAATTTATATGAAGTGTGAAGAAGAGATGACTTCATCATCAGACGTGAAGGACCTGCCTAGTATGGACCAACAGGCCTGCTGCAGTGTTCCTCTTTTCTTATGTTCTGCTATATACATTACGAAAACAACATTTAAAACAAAACGAAGAGCAGTTGAATTAATCAATAATATGGATAACTTCTTCAGTAATATACAAAAGGTTTAGAGATAAATAATAAGTTCGTATATTAGAAACAAGCAATGGGTCTCAAAAATTCACCTTTAATTAAAGTTTTGACGTCATCAGGATGACTGAGGTAGTTAGGGTCAATGAGAGGGGCAGCCTTGGGATTGCTGGAGCTGAGTCTAATAGTGCCACGACTCTTGGGACGGGTCAGCATGGGACCGATGGTGAAGCCCTCCTGCCCAATCAGTGGCAAATAGTGTTGTTTGAAGAGCTGGTGGGAAGAGTTAGAAGGCTGGTGAGAGGAGGGAGCGCGATGTCTTGCTGGTAGACACTTATGAGTGTACAATAGAAGTGATGGTGATGATGGCTATTGATTAAGGATGGCTGGAAACAATAGCTGATAAAGAATTTACAACAAATGTATATAAAGACAATCCAAAAGCAAAAGACCAATGGGAAAATAATAAGGATGTTTATATATAAGGATATCTCATGGTGAGGGAAACAAAATTCAGGATTTTGTTAATTTTTTCAGTCCGAATCATAAAACAATGTAAACATACAGGATATGGGTCAACAGCCACACACACACACACACACACACACACACACACACACACACACACACACACACACACACACACACACACACACACACACACACAGAAGGACCAGAAGGACGGAGAGGTGGGGTACACCACCATGTGCTGGACACAGTACACACAACCGAGGAAGAAGTGAAGAGGCTTCTGAGTGAGCTAGATACCTCAAAGGCAATGGGGCCAGATAACATCTCTCAATGGGTCCTGAGAGAGGGAGCAGAGGCGCTATGTGTACCCCTTACAACAATATTCAATACATCTATCGAAACAGGGAGATTGCCTGATGCATGGAAGACAGCAAATGTGGTCCCAATCTTCAAAAAGGAGACAGACATCAAGCACTAAACTACAGACCAGTGTCACTGACATGTATAGCATGCAAGATCATGGAAAAGATTGTCAGGAGAAGAATGGTGGAACATCTAGAAAGGAATGATCTCATCACCAGCAGCCAACATGGTTTCAGAGACGGGAAATCCTGTGTCACAAACCTACTGGAGTTCTATGACATGGTGATAGCAGTAAGACAAGAGAGAGAGGGGTGGGTGGATTGCATTTTCTTGGACTGCAAGAAGGCGTTTGACACAGTACCACACAAAAGATTAGTGCAAAAACTGGAGGACCAAGCAGGGATAACAGGGAAGGCACTGCAATGGATCAGGGAATACTTGTCAGGAAGACAGCAGCGAGTAATGGTACGTGGCGAGGTGTCAGAGTGGGCACCTGTGACCAGCGGGGTCCCCCAGGGGTCAGTCCTAGGACCAGTGCTGTTTCTGGTATTTGTGAACGACATGACGGAAGGAATAAACTCCGAGGTGTCCCTGTTTGCAGATGACGTGAAGTTGATGAGAAGAGTTCATTCGATCGAAGACCAGGCAGAAATACAAAGGGATCTGGACAGGCTGCAGACCTGGTCCAGCAACTGGCTCCTGGAGTTCAACTCTACCAAGTGAAAGGTTATGAAGATTGGGGAAGGGCAAAGAAGACTGCAGACGGAGTACAGTCTAGGGGGCCAGAGACTACAAACATCACTCAAGGAAAAAGATCTTGGGGTGCGTATAACACCAGGCACATCTCCTGAAGCGCACATCAACCAAATAACTGCCGCAGCATATGGGCGCCTGGCAAACCTCAGAACAGCATTCCGACATCTTAATAAGGAATCGTTCAGGACCCTGTACACCGTGTACGTTAGGCCCATATTGGAGTATGCGGCACCAGTTTGGAACCCACACCCTAGCCAAGCATGTAAAGAAACTAGAGAAAGTGCAAGGTTTGCAACAAGACTAGTCCCAGAGTTAAGAGGTATGTCCTATGAGGAGAGGTTAAGGGAAATCAATCTGACGACACTGGAGGACAGGAGAGTAGGGGGGACATGATAACGACTTACAAAATACTGAGAGGAATTGACAAAGTGGACAAAGACAGGATGTTCCAGAGACTGGACACAGCAACACGGGGACACAGTTGGAAGCTGAAGACACAGATGAATCAAAGGGATGTTAGGAAGTATTTCTTCAGCCACAGAGTAGTCAGGAAGTGGAATAGTTTGGGAAGCGATGTAGTGGAGGCAGGATCCATACATAGCTTTTAAGCAGAGGTACGATAAAGCTCATGGTTCAGGGAGAGTGACCTAGTAGCGACCAGTGAAGAGGCGGGACCAGGAGCTTGGACTCGACCCCTGCAACCTCAACTAGGTGAGTACAACTAGGTGAGTACACACACACTACCACACACACTACCACACGCACTACCACACGCACTACCACACACACACTAGCACACACACTACTGCGCGCGCACCACACACACACACACACCACACACACACCACACACACCACACACACACACAACACACACACACAACACACACACACACACAAGCACGTACTCATATACAACAGGCCTAGTGTCTAATCGGACATGTGCCTGGACAAAGGTAACTAACACACACACACACACACACACACACACACAATATAATATATATATATATATATATTTTATATATATATTATATATATTTATATATATATATGTATTAGTATATTATATAATATATATATATAAAATATATATATATATATATATATATATATATATATATATATATATATATATATATTATTGTGACCACGAACGAATGGTATTGATCAATAACATATATAATATATATATTATATTATATTTATAATAGTAAGCAAAATAATTAACACATCCGAATGCACATCATATAGTTCCTCGTGTACTTAGCTCAGTGGTGACGTGTACTTAGCTCTGTGAAGACCTGCTTGTGTGCTCTCTGTGAATCTGAACCAGGATGCCCTCTCTTGAGCAACTTTGCCAGCAGCTGAAAGAAGAGCTTAGGGTTGCTAAGCTAGAGATACAGCGATTAACGAAGGAGAACAAGAGGATTCGTAGTAATCCTCCTGTTGTGAGTCCCCAGGTTAAGAGGGGAGCTTGGTCAGTGGCCGGGCAACATGGAACCAAGCTGAGGATCTAAAAGACTGTTGGAGAGGCAGAAACAACGAGAAACCAGAAGACTACTGTGGAAACTTCCGACCCATTTTCGGTGCTACCTGATGAATGTGGGTGTTCTACTGGGAATGCCACAACGAGCACCAATGAAGCACTGGCAGACGTGAGTGAGATATCCCTAGAAACCCCAACGAAAACCATCGAGAACGTCTTGACGAATTCCACAAGTGAAGGTGTAGTGCCACCGAACGAATGTGAGCCGACTACTTGGAACATCACGACGGACGTCGCCAAGGAAGGTAAAAAACATTGTTCTTGTTGGGGATAGCCAGATTAGGTACATGGATAGGGCATTCTGCTTGAAAGATAGGAGTAGGAGGCAGAGAGTGTGTTTTCCTTGGGCTGGGATGAAGGATATTGTTAGCCGTCTGGATGACATTATGAGAGGTAATGGGAGCAATCCTATTATCTGTCTCAGTGCTGGAGGCAACGATGTTGGCAGTCGTAGGAGTGAGGACCTGATTAGCAGGTACAGGTCAGCAATAGAGATAATTAGGAGGAAAGGTGGGAACCCTGTCATATGTGGTATTTTGCCAAGGAGAGGAGTTGGAAATAAATGGTTGTCCAGGGCAATTGGTGTCAAATGCTGGCTGGACAAATATTGTAAGGAAAATGCAGTAACATTCATTGACAACTAGGACCTCATCTGTGGCAGAAATGACATGTATGCCAGGGATGGGGTTCACTTATCTAGGTCTGGGGTGGGGGCACTGGCCAACGCAGTGGAGGGAGCTGTTAGGTCTTTAAACTAGGAATAGTTAGTAGTATGGGTTTTGGCGGGAAAACTTTGAAGTCCCAATGTAGTAATATGAGTACTAGGAGAACTAGTAATAGGCAAAATGAGGTGGATATTGGAAAGCCAGTGGCACTAATTGACAAGGACAGTAATAGATTTAGTGGAATAGCAGAAAGGAGCAGGAAGGGTAAAGAGAAAGGAGGGTCCTTAAATATATATTACACAAATAGTCGAAGTGCTAGGAATAAGATGGACGAGTTGAGACTAGTTGCTAGTGCAGGTAACATTGATGTATTTGCCTTAAGTGAGACGTGGTTCAATACGAAAAATATAGATACCCATCAATTACACAACCCAGGGCAACATGGGTTTAGAGCAGATCGCTCCTGTCTGTCTTAGCTACTGGATCACTACGACAAGGTCCGAGATGCAATAGAAGACATAAAAAAAATGCAGATGTAATATATACAGACTTTGCAAAAGCCTTCGACAAGTGTGACCAGGCGTAATAGCGCACAAAATGCGTGCTAAAGGAATAGCAGGAAAAGTTGGTAGATGGATCTATAATTTCCTCGCAAACAGAACACAAAGAGTAGTAGTCAACAGAGTAAAGTCTGAGGCAGCTACGGTGAAAAGCTCTGTTCCACAAGGCACAGTACTCGCTCCCATCTTGTTTCTCATCCTCATATCTGACATAGACAAGGATGTCAGCCACAGCACCGTGTCTTCCTTTGCAGATTACACCCGAATCTGCATGACAGTGTCTTCCATTGCAGACACTGCAAGGCTCAAGGCGGATATCAACCAAATCTTTCAGTGGGCTGCAGAAAACAATATGAAGTTCAACGATGAGAAATTTCAATTACTCCGATATGGTAAACATGAGGAAATTAAAACTTCATCAGAGTACAAAACAAATTCCTTCCACAAAATAGAGCGAAAAACCAACGTCAAAGACCTGGGAGTGATCATGTCAGAGGATCTCACCTTCAAGGACCATAACATTGTATCAATTGCATCTGCTAGAAAAATGACAGGATGGATAATGAGAACCTTCAAAACTAGGGATGCCAAACCCATGATGACACTCTTCAGGTCACTTGTTCTATCTAGGCTGGAATATTGCTGCACACTAACAGCACCTTTCAAGGCAGGTGAAATTGCTGACCTAGAAAATGTACAGAGAACCTTCACGGCACGCATAACGGAGATAAAACACTTCAATTACTGGGAGCGCTTGAAGTTCCTGAACCTGTACGCCCTGGAACGCAGGCGGGAGAGATTCATAATTATATACACCTGGAAAATCCTAGAGGGACTAGTACCGAACTTGCACACGAAAATCACTCACAACGAAAGCAAAAGACTTGGCAGACGATGCAACATCCCCCCAATGAAAAGCAGGGGTGTCACTAGCACGTTAAGAGACAATACAATAAGTGTCAGGGGCCCGAGACTGTTCAACTGCCTCCCAGGATACATAAGCAGG